ATTCAAATTCATATATGTTGGAAACTATGTATATATATTGTAGAGGGTATATTTGTAATTACTGAGTGTATATATTTTAGTTAGGTTGTACTGTTGAAATACAAGTAATATAGAAAATGAAACATGGTATCAGAGCACCGGGACGATGCGTGAACCCTTAAACGCTAAACCCATTTGCTTGTTTCTGTTTTCCTGCGACCAGTTATCTCTGGTGACGTCTTTGTCCATGGTTTCTCTCTCTCCGGCGACGTTTGCCCTTAGCTTCTCTGTTTTTGGCGACGTCTGAGTCTGTTCTTCCCTCAGTTTCTGTTTTTCGATGACCAACGATCTTTGGTGACGCCTTTGTTCATGGTTTCTCTCTCTCCGACGATGTCTACCTTTAGCTTCTCTATTTTCGGCGATGTCTGAGTCTGTTCTTTGTTCCCCTGATCTCTCCAACGACCTCTATTATCTCCGACGACCTTTGCTTCTCTTTTTTCGGCGACTGTTGCTGATTCTGTTCCAGTCTCTCTTCTTTGTTGTTGTTTGGTGCAGTGAACGTGGAGTTGTTGTGAATCATTTTTTTTTTTTTTTGTTGCTATCCTTTTGTGTTGGCTTGGAGTTGTTGTGAATCCTAATTGTTTGAGATTGGGATGCTGTTGTGTTTGCTTGGGTTGTTTGGTGTTGAGAGTAGGATTGTTGAGATTGTTGTGAATCCTAGTTGTTTGGTGTTGAGAGTGTTGTGAATATGTGGAGTTTAGAGTTATTTGCTAGACAGTATGGTAGAGGACGGTAAGAAGATGGTGATTGAAATTGTCACTTCACCAAAATTACTGATCGAAAATTATTGGGAAAAATGAATTATATTCAATGGAAACGGATTATTCGACGATATGTGTCCAACATTGATATGGGAGACCATTTAATCGAGGACCCGCTTGAGAAAACAGAAAATGATAATAAAACTCGAAAAAAATGGCTCATGGAAGATGATAAGCTCTTCAATCAGTTTCAGAACACTCTCGATTCGTCCGTGGATGATGTGATTGGTCATTGTGATACACTCAAGGAGTTATAGGAGTATCTAGAGTTCTTGTATGCTGGTAAACAAGACCTATCTCACGTCCATGAATTGTTATTGAAGATCTATCGAGCAAATATGCAAGAGAAGACGTTGCTCGAATATTATACAAAGATAAAACAAGCTTTTGAAGAAAAAAGGGCTATGTTTCCTGTCCCTACTAATGTGAAGATGATGCAAGTACAAGAAGAACAAGTGGTAATGCAATGTTTCTGGTTGGGTTGAGACCAGAATATGAGATAGCTCGTACATAACTTCTTACCGGTGAGACACTTCCCTCTCTTACGAATGTCTTTGCTCGACTTCTCAGAGTTAATAAAGGGGAAGATTGAGGAGTGTCTAAGGACAAAGAAACCCTTAACGATCCTAATGTTGATCATGCGACCCTAGCTAGCATAAAGTATGGTGATGGCAAAGGTAACAAAGGGACAAGTCGTGATACCGGGAACAATCGTGGTAATGGCCCTCATACTTGCTTTCACTGTGGTGCTGAGGGTCACGTAAAAAAAAATTGTTGGAAGCTCCATGGCAAGCCCTTGAATATGCTAGACACTCAGAAGTTTGCTCATGTTGCAACTCAAGATGGTCTCTTACCCACCCCATCACAGGTAACTATCTCTGCAGCAGAATGTGCTCGTCTTACTCAGAATTCTTGCTCCGAGTCATCCATCCCATCGACTACCACTACATTAACCTAGTTGCGTAATCCTACAGTCTGTTTGTCCATTTCTAGCAGTAACTGACAGGCTATACAAGTATTCTTTCCTCATTTACACCTTCTCCCAATTTGTCTTCAGTTACCTTAGCTAACAGGTCTACTACACCTATTATTGGATGTGGTACTGCCCATCTCAACAAATGTATGTCTCTTTCCTTTGTCTTGTGTCTTCCTTATTTTCCCTTTAATCTTTTATTTGTTAGTCACATTACTAATGCATTCAATTGTGGTGTTTACTTTTTTCCTACTCATTGTATATTTCAGGATCTTGGGACGAGGCAGATTATTGGTAGGGGTTGTGTATCAGGTGGCCTGTATATGCTCGATGATGTCTCCACTCCTGTCTCTCAACCTGTTGTGTGTACCAGTGATTCATCTCTACCCATATTACATGGTCGCCTTGGTCATCCTCCCTTTCCCATTTTGAAAAGGTTGTGTCCTAGTGCATGGTTAATGTCACACCTTGAGTGTGAGATGTGTCAATTTGGAAAACACCATAGAGTGTCCTATAGCCCTAAGATAAACAAAAGAGCCACAACCCCTTTTGATGTTATACACTCTGATGTTTGGGGTCCTTGCCCTGTGTTGTCTAAGTCTGGATATCGATACTTTGTTATTTTTGTGGATGATTTTTCACGTGTAACGTGGTTGTACTTTATGAAAAATCATTGTGAATTATTCTCCATATTTTGTACCTTTTATGTTGAAATACAAAATCAATTTACTTCATCTATTAAAATTCTCAGATGTGATAATGCCAAAGAATACTTTTCTGCCTCTTTCTCTTCCTTTCTATCTACTAGAGGTATTATTCATCAATCATCATGTGTTTATACACCTCAACAAAATGGAGTTGCTGAACGCAAAAATCGTTATTTATTAGAAGTCGCTCGTACTCTCCTTTTTCACATGAAAGTCTTTACAGAATTTTAGGCAGATGTTATCTCTACAACATGTCACTTGATCAATTGCATGCCTTCTTCTGTTTTGGGTGATCAAATCCTATTCTCCATCCTTTTTCCATCACAACCTTTATTCTCTCTTCCTCCTAAAGTGTTTGGATGCACGTGCTTTGTTCAAGATGTTAGACCTCATGTATCCAAATTTGAACCTAGGTCCCTCAAGTACATATTCTTGGGTTATTCCCGATATTAGAAGGGTTATCGTTGTCTTTCTCCTGTCCTAGGTAAGTACCTTATCTCTGCTGATGTTTCCTTTTTTGAAACCACTTCATATGTTGTGTCCTCCACTTCATCTACTTCTCTTGAAGCACCCTCTGATGATCTTCTTGTTTACAACATTACCCATCATAGTCCTCTACCATCTCGTCCTCCTATCATGCAGGTATACTCTCGCAGGGTTCACTAGCACCATGGGACACCTGCAGTAACATCTGATCCACTACCTCGCCTTCGGGTCTAATTCCTCCTTCCTCTGACCATGATCATGATCTTCCCATTGCTCTTCGTAAAGGTAAGCGCTCTTGTACCTATCCTATCTCCTCATTTGTTTCCTATCACTCTTTGTCTTCATCTTCCAAGTCTTTTATTGCCTCTTTAGACTCCGTGTCTGTTCCCAACTCTGTGTTTGAATCAATTACTCATGATGGGTGGCGAAGGGCTATGGAAGAAGAAATGTTGGCTCTAGAACATAATGATACATGGGTTCTAATGAAGTTGCCTGAAAATAAAAAGGCTATTGGGTGCAAAGGGGTTTTCACAGTGAAGGCTAATCCTGATGGGACTATGACTCGGTTAAAAGCTCAGTTGGTTGTTAAGGGTTATGCCCAAATGTATGGTATTGTTTATTTTGAGACATTCTCCCTAGTGGCTAAAATGACATCTGTCTGACTATTCATCTCTCTTACAGCTTCATATTGTTGGCCTCTTCACCAGCTTGATGTAAAAAAAGCCTTTTTACATGGTGATCTTCTTGAAGAGGTTTACATGGAGCAACCTCTGGGGTTTGTTGCTTAGGGGGAGTCAGGAAAGGTATGCAAATTGAAGAAATCTTTATATGGCTTAAAGCAATCTCCACGAGTGTGGTTTGGGAGGTTTAGCGAAGTGGTGACTCAGTTTGGTTTACATAGGAGTGCTTATGATCATTCTGTCTTTTATAAGCAATCTAGTTCTGGCATCATTCTTTTGGTTGTTTATGTTGATGAAATTGTAATCACTGGCAGTGATGATGTTGGTGTTCAGAGTTTGAAAAACTTTTTGGCTTCCAAATTTCACATAAAAGACTTGGGTACTTTAAGGTATTTTTTGGGAGTCGAGGTTTCTCGGAGTAAGAAAGAGATTTTTCTCTCTCAACGCAAGTATGTGTTAGATGTGTTGACCGAAATGGGTCTAAGTGAGGCTAAGCTTTGTGACACTCCTATGGTTCCTAACGTGAGATTGAATGCTGAGGATGGAGAGATGTTTGGTGATCCAGAGAGATACAGACGGATAGTTGGAAAGTTAAACTACCTTACAGTAACCCGTCCAGATATTGCTTTTTCAGTGAGTGTGGTGAGTTAATTTATGTCATCCCCTAGGACATCTCATTGGGATGCAATCCTCCATATTTTGAAGTATCTAAAAGGAGCCCCTGGACGTGAGATTCTTTACAGTGATCATGGTCATAATAAGGTAGAAGGTTTTTCAGATGCAGATTGGGCAGGATCCTCTGCGGATAGACGGTCTGTGACTGAGTTTTGTGTTTTTGTTGGAGGAAATCTTATTTCTTGGAAAAGTAAGAAGCAACCAATTGTAGCTAGGTCAAGCGCAGAGTCTAAGTATTGGGCTATGACACAAGTTACGTGTGAGCTTATATGGACAAGACATCTTCTTAGAGAAATTGAGTTTGGTAACCCAGGGACTATTGGACTTGTGGTGTAACAACCAAACAGTCATACATATAGCAAACAATCCAGTCTTTCACGAGAGGACTAAGCATATAGAAGTGGATTGTCACTTTGTATGAGAGAAACTTGAACAAAAGATAATTGCTACTAATCATGTTAGAACAGGGGAACAACTAGCTGACATCTTTACGAAGTCTCTAATTGGTAAAAATGTAACCTATATTTATAACAAGCTGAGCATGATAGATATATATGCTCTAACTTGAGGGAGAGTGTTAGAAACTATGTATATATATTGTAAAGGGTATATTTGTAATTGCTGAGTATGTATATATTTTAGTTAGGTTGTACTGTTGAAATACAAGTAATATAGAAAATGAAACAATACATAAAAAAGATTTTTATTAATGGATAACATTACTCTTATGACTCTTACTTGACCTGCATCGGCAACACATAAATCCTGCCAGAGGTCAGAATACTACGCATCCCATTTCTTTGTGGCCTCTAAAAGTCACTGGCATTGCGTCTAAAGCAAGCATTAGCTGCAAATTCCCTACCCTCTCCTTTACTTTGACAAGTAATTTATTACAAACGATCGAAATATATGCCACAGCACTAAAGCTGAAACCAACACACAGATATTGAACTACAGAGATCGTGGAACTACCACCACCATACTTCTGTCATAAATCCACCAACACTGTCAAAGAAAATCACAAATCTGTACAGGCGGCATGACCTCTGATCTTTAAACCTCTTGAATACTCTGAAGTTGATTGCACTATAGGGATCAAATAACTGTTATTGTACATTTGCATATCATGGTGCTTCCCTTATCCTTCCAAGCATACAAGAATTCAAGAAAGTTGATCTCCTGCTGATCCTGAGACAGTTTTTTCTGCATCCGACATCATTAAGAAATAGATTGTAAGACACTCAACTGTGCTTTCTGATGTGCAATGAAATTTGAACAGCCTCATTGTAATTCATAAATCATTTTTCCACATGTTTATTCAAAAGAAAGAAACTGACATAAAAGTTGGAAGCCACCATTTGATTCTTAGTTAAAGAAACCAAGGGTGATTCTACACTCATTTATGTTGATGGTGACCATCACTCTTATCTCTAATGAAGTCATTTGAACGGAAAATATTGGCTTCATTTTTGTGATAGATATCCATTTTCAAATTGTCATGTAAAACATAATAGTCTTTTCAATTGTTGCAAGACAGAAAAAAACTCCTACAACGAATTTTGTCAGTGTGTGAACACGAAAGAAGATTCAACAGCTACCGCCAGTGCAAATTATGAACACATCCAATCTACATCTAAGATAACTCTAAAGGAGAATTAACAAATCTGCAATCCACTTGGAAATATCAATTAATTATCTTAAGTTTTCTTCTACCTTCTTCCTTCAACCTGGCCTTCCAAGATTGCATTTGCAACACAACAACCAAGAATACAAGTTTAAGATGATCAAAGCAAGTTCACTGAAAACTAACGTATATGATCATTTCAAGTAATATCGTTACATATCTAGATCCTGAGTTAATATGCAGGGATGAATCAATTATTTTCTAAGCCACTGAACTAATTAGGAAACCTTCAGTTTGTAAGGCAAAGTTCCTTCTTCTCATATTCCTTCCTTTACCTTCTGGAATCCTAACCATCCTAACCACAAAAAGGCTTGCCTAACAACTATCACGGTTTAAAAGATATGTGCATTTTCAATATAGCTTCATCAGTTTCATAATGGTCAACCAAATATATAGCCCTGACGTGCAAAGATTCAATCACTAGAATAACACTAGAATGATAATTACAACTATCACGGTTGTGTGATTGGCACATATATGATGAAATGTCAGTCACCATCTACAACTGAATAAAATTGATGAATGCTAATGCTTAGGCAACCATAAAAAATACAATCCTGATCCGGCATATAAGAGTCCACAATTCCCAGCAAAAATTAAGAATCTATATTGATAAATAAAACCACTCAGTTCAGCTATTAATAAGTAGAATCTATGTGTAGCGTTTATTTTTCTTTAATAAAAATTGCATGAAGATTAAGAATTGAACAATAAACATTACCAGAATCAATGTCATCGATGGTGTTATAGAATTTAGAGAATCTTCCACGACTCGGGGGCTTGGGTTTTATACGTTTCTCTCGCAAACCAAATATATCTTGAATCAGAGGTACGTGAACCAGAATTAACTTCCATGCCAAAAACCACCCTGAAATTAATCAATTTCTCAAAAACAAAAACAAAAGAAAGAACAACCAGATAAATCGCATGAGAGGCAGAAAAACAATTTACCAAGAAGAATGAAGGATAGAACGAAAGAAATTGCGAGAATCGGACGTAGAAGTAATAAAATCAGGTAATTCCATACCCCAATGGAGTTGGATGAAGACGATGACTCCATTGACAATCTTGCTACCTCAACTAGCCTAAACAAAGCACTTCTTTATATCGCCGTCTGCGTCTTGTGCGTAAATTTGTGAAAGTTGGGCCCAAGACTCGACCTTGGGCCTGTGTAGTTTTTGGGCTTGATAAAACTAGCCATAATTGAGATCTTGGGCCTCGGACTCTTATGGGAAATCTCTTTGGCTCATTTTTAACAAGAGCAATTATATCTTAGAATATAATTTTGTGAAATAATCAGCATTATAATTTGATATCTCTGAGGACTGAATTTTTTTGCTACTTTTTATAATTATATTATTGCATTGATAAAATTGAAGAAATCATAAAATATTTGACTGCTCCACGTCTACACGCTTGGAAAGTTTATAAGCTTGAAAACTAGAATATATTTCATGCCAATTAAACAGCCAATAAAAAACATCCACATGTGGTCCTCCGCCTTAAAGAAGAGGAAATAGGCCCATTCTACAGCCAGAAACTACACCCAATCTTAATCGTAACGTCGGCCCTCGACCCAAAAAACAATTACTAAAAAATAGAAAGAAAATGGCTACACTGAACCTAGCTGCTTTTGTTGTCCAGATAAACTTAACATTTCTTCTTCCAGCTACACCTCCTATCACATTCCACCACGTGTAACTTACCGGGAACAAGCCAAGAGTAACCGGCACTTTCCAGTCACTACCTCTCCTAACCGCCAAATTCACATCCAGGTTCATCCCACGATATTCCCATCTACCCGTCGCTGTAAAACCTTCGAGCACCTAAAATTCTCATTTAACTCTTTTATTTTTTGTCATATAAAGAAATAAACATTTGCTAGGGTTTCCCATTTCACTTTGACAATTTTCATGGAAGCTTCTGCTTCTGCTTCTGTTTCTTCATCAACATCGCATCAACGATCATCAATTCGTTACTTGCGCTGTCGCTGTAGACGCTTTTGTCGCTGTTTCTGTTGCTTCTATACTTACCCTTGAAATTTTCGTATTTTATTTCAAATTCATCGAGTTCTAGATTCATTTTAGGTCTTATTATGGATTTATCATCGCATACACAATCGAGCCTCTCTTTAAGCTTCCATTCACATGCATCATCTCCACCGTCACCGCCTTCTTCGCAAACGACTATCATAGACGACTCAATTTCTCTGCAACTTGATTCAAGTTACCGGAGTTCATCGAATCCGATTCCGTCAAAACCGTTGCAACTCCTCGAGGATAAAACGGTCAAATTAAATTCCGAAAATAACGGAGAAGACTACGAGAAAGAAGATGAGCAAGAAGAAGAATTCAGCATCTTAGGCCACCAGATGTGCCTAAAACGGCAAAGAGATGGCCACTGTTTGCCGTTCGCGAAGCGACTCGCAGTTGAACCTGGGCTCGAAGGGCGTCGAGCCTCGGTTCGAGCCTGGGGAAATCAGCCGCTGGCCGCGGCGGACCCTGAGATTCACGATATCATGGAAAAGGAGAAAAAGCGCCAATTTAGCGGAATTGAGTTAATAGCTTCGGAGAATTTTGTGTGTCGTGCTGTGATGGAAGCGCTTGGAAGCCATTTAACAAATAAGTACTCGGAAGGATTTCCTGGAGCTAGGTACTACACAGGTAATCAATACATTGATCAGATAGAAAGTCTTTGTATTGAACGCGCATTAAAAGCGTTTAATCTTGATAGTGATAAATGGGGAGTCAATGTTCAGCCATATTCATGTACCTCTGCTAATTTCGCCGTTTATACCGGTCTCCTGTTACCGGGAGAAAGAATTATGGGTTTAGATTCACCGTCTGGAGGGCATATGAGTCATGGTTATTATACTCCGGGAGGGAAAAAGGTTTCGGCTGCTTCTCTATTTTTTGAGAGTTTTCCATATAAAGTGAATCCACAAACTGGTTTGATTGATTATGAGAAGCTGGAGGAGAAGGCCATGGATTATAGGCCTAAGATTTTGATTTGTGGTGGGAGTTCATATCCAAGAGAGTGGGACTATGGGAGGTTTAGGCAGATTGCGGATAAGTGTGGCGCTGTTTTGATGTGTGATATGGCTCATATAAGTGGGCTCGTGGCAGCAAAGGTGTGGATAATCTCTATTGTTAAATACTTTAATTTCATGTATGAAAAACTTTGGAATTTTATGGTTTATCAGATGCACCTACAAAAATATATTACATACAGCATATGCTTTCATCTATAGTCACAGAAATAAAATTATTTGCAATCTTTCCATTATCTTATTGTCGTTGTTCATACTGTGTTATGGTCACTTGGGGTGGTGAAATCCCATACTTTTGTTGCTAGGTAGTTGTACTTGCCCAATGATATATTTTATTGTTTATATATTAGAGTTATATTTAAGAAGATTGGAAGAACTTTCTTTCATGGATGGATTGCTACTCACATCAATGGAACATATATACCTCTGATATGCTTCTTGTGAATAACTGCTAATGATGTAAACATTTGTCTGCTGGTATCATCTTTGTATACCCACATTAACTTGAACTTTCAATGCGCTGTATTTTAAATGAGTCACATTACCATATAAGGAGGGCTCATCATTTGATGTGCTTTTTATTCTAAACTTCTTTTTGACTTTTTGCAAGATAATACATGATGATGCTTGGCAGTAATAAGGATACACATCCTCCCTTGTCCCGTTACATTTTAGGGGCTGGAAACAGTATGAGATTGCTGATTTGCTTATAATCTCCTAGAAGTGAATGTTTCACAGATAATGGGATTTCATATCACAAAATGTTTGAACTTTCAGGTCCTTAATCCTTAGATAAACTACAATTCATGCTTATAACCTGGGATGAATTTTTTCAACAGTAATTCTCAAATGCCATGTTCCTCAAATTCCGTTTTAAGTGGTTATAGTATATAACAGGCGAAGAAGTTCTATCATAATTTCCAATTTTGATATTTTTGTTTGGAATGCTTTGATTTAATTTAGTGCTTAAGTTTTGGACCTCAGATTGTTGCATCTCTTGGAGAATTGGTTTTATCCTTAATTATCTTTGTGGAACTCGTGATAGCTGCGCTTTAATACACAATAACCATTCATATTGAAACATACTCTGGTCATAATTATTTGTGTTTGGTGATACATCTCTTGTCATTCGAAAATAAAAATATAATTGAATTTGGTTGTCAGAATTTTAAGCATTCTTTTCTTATGAACTTTCCAAAAAATAGATTTCAATTATGATCTTAGTAATTTAATATTTTAGCTTGTGGATCTTGATCGTGCTTTAAAATACTACAATGGTGTTTATTATAGGTTATGTGTCTTTTCCATTGCATGTACCGTGTTCTGCTTCTTTTCTTCTTTCCTCTCATTCTTTGAAATTCATATAAGAATAGCTATTATTAATAAATGGGAAAAAAAATTTCTTGTACTTACCATGTTCTGGTGTTCTCTTCTACAGGAATTGGCTAGTCCATTTGACTATTGTGATATAGTTACATCAACAACTCACAAAAGTCTCCGCGGTCCCAGGGGAGGCATCATTTTCTTTAGGAGAGGCAAAAAATCCAGGAAGCAAGGCATGCCTCTTGGTCATGGTGATAATAGTAGCCATTATGGTTTTGAGGAGAAGATAAACTTTGCTGTCCATCCATCATTACAAGGGGGTCCTCACGATAATCACATTGCTGCTCTTGCCATAGCCTTGAAACAAGTGGCAACTCCAGAGTACAAAGCATATATGCAGCAGGTGAAGAGAAATGCCCAGGCCCTAGCATCTGCTTTATTGAGAAGAAAATGCAAATTGGTGACTGGGGGCACTGACAACCATTTGTTGCTATGGGATCTAACTACTCGAGGATTAAGAGGTATACTAATTTTAACCTTTTCTATGTTCTTAAAACACTTTTTAAATTGGTATGCTTTTGGAAGAAAATAGATATTTGCTTCTCAAAACTTTGTACATCATGGTTAGGTATGGATCTATTTATACTGGTATGGTAATTAGAGCGTTGTATTAGTTCCTCTTCGCTGATGGTTAATACTTCACTAACACTGCTTTCAATGGTTAGTTCCTCTGCTTTTGAGTGTCAATGGTGTTAAAGCAACTATCATTGCTGCTCCATGTTCTGAAGTTAGAAAAACTTTATTTAAGAAACCAATGAAGTATTTAATTTGTAAATATGCAACGAGATTTATTGGTAATTTGGCCAGATACTTTATTCTAAAGTACAGGTCATGCCAGCTACTTCCGCAAGGATTCCTTACTAACGTATAGTACTGATAAAACACCTGAGCTTTAAAAGTGTCCTGTTCTCAGGTTTTTTGTAATAGAAACTTTCAGATTGGGTGGAGAAAATCTTTTTCAGAGTATTAAGTGATGATTAAGAGTGAAAACACTATATTGCTGCCATATTATGCAAATTTCCTTGTGGATTATGGCAGAATTACAAGACCCTGGTTGCTCAGGGTAGTCTGATTATTCTTGTTAGCTTTTTAGTTGTATGAGTACAGCTTTGTTCTAGAAATTTGACATGATTGAGTGAAAGCACTATATTGCTTCCAGAATAATACTGTGTGTACTAACGGATTTTACTAACCAATGTACTAACCTTTGTTAAAATCACACATAGTACCCGTATTATGCGCATGGTACCCATACTATGCTTTAAGTTAGTACACTAGTTTGTAGAATCTATTAGTACCCATAGCATTACCCTTGCTTCCATCTTCTAGAATGAAGGAGAGCATTATTGTAACTTAAAGACTAAACTGCTTATTAATGGGATTTGTCAAAATTCTGTGGCAGTTGAATTATAGAAAGGTCTATGTGGTTTCGTATATAATTTGAAATTCAGTAGGATGCTTGCCAACATTTTAATCAGATAGTAGTATGATATTTAGAGATATCTATGTTCTCTATTTTCAGTGAAGTATTGGAATTTGGCTCAAGTATTCATGTTTGTGCCCAATTGGAGCCAAATTATTGGCTATATGTGTTGGAACCACAGGATTTGTTGTTATTAATATGAGGAAAAATTATTCTGCTGCAAT